TCACAAGATGCTAGCACGAGGGGAGTGAGCTGCCCCTTCCAGACTCCAACAGCCCTCCCCGTAGCCTGGGAGGGTGTTAATCCATGCAACTCAGCCCACCGCTGTCTCCTCAGGTCTAAAATACGGCCGTGAGGAACGAGCCCTCACCCTCACCTCATGGTGAGCACACTGAAGAGCAACAGCATAACTCCCTGGCTGGCCTCAGATGGCCAAGGCTTCAGGAAGTACGGACTTCAGTCCCACCTCCTGAACTCACCCACGGCCAGCCACGTGGCCACCTCACGGCCGAGCTCACTCAGGAAAAATGTTCTAGGAAGTCCACGGAACATGCTGCTCTCTGGCCAGCTGGCACACAGCCACACAGCACGAGGAGCGTCAGCTCCTGTCTTACTCGAGTCAGGGGGACCTCTGAGAGGGACCCAGGCTGGCCCTGGGGTGGGCCAGTGACCCGTGGTCGACTGGATTGTTTCATCCTGACAGATGGACGACGTCCAAGGGCAGCCATCAGAGCTCAGCGTCCAGGGTCTTGGACAGGGCTGGCTGGGCACAGGACAGCGTTGGAGAGTGTGCAGGACGGGGCCATAGGAGCAAGCCTCCCCACAGTCAAGGTCAGGTCAAGGCGCTCCAACTGTTCCTGGATCTAAAGAGGCCGAGCAGCCATGAAGGCCAGAAAAGAACTTCGTTTCAGAGAGCAGGTGGGAGGGCGGAAGCAGGGCCAGACAGCGGCAGGTGGGTGCCGCCGTGGGCCCCTCCTCCTCCTGGGAGGTGAGAACACATTCCTGGGCCAGGGCAGGCTTAGTAGATGGCAGTGCTGGGGTTCACCTGCCCAGGGGGCAAGGGCTCCCCAGGAGAGCCAGGGCCACACGTGCGGGGGGCCTTCTCCCAAACCATGCCTTCCCCAGGGGAGCAAAGAGACCACCTGAAGAAACTCGAGCAGTGACGGACGGGCTACTGAAGGTGATATGTGGAGGTTAACCTCACGAACACGGACTGGGCAAGGGGTGACACCCTGGGGGCTGAGGTGAAGCCCAAGACAAGGCCATGGGCGGGCGGCAGGCAGTGGGACCGCACAGCAGGCAGGGCCTCTCTGCCTGGATCCTGTCCATCGCAAGCCCACGCTGAGGTGAGGGCTCTCTGTGGAAAGCAGCCCGACCTGGCCCCTCGCCCACGGTCACACACCACGGGGGCAGGCAGGTCACCATGACCATGGATCTGCTGGCAGGAGGGACATCCAGGTCTGCGGCTACACGCAAAGCCCCTGCCTGGAGGCCAGACTGCCACAGGGGCCCGGCTTTGCGTGTGACCTGCCTCACATGGCCGCCAGCCCCAGGCTCATGCCAAGCAGCCCTTTGGCCTGACCGGTCCCTGGCGTGTGGACACGTGGGGTCTCAGCTCTGTCCGGGCTGTTCAGCCCCCCTCGACACCCACGGTGCCCTCACGTCCGGACTTCCCCGCCAAAGGGGAAGACCGTTTCCCCCTCCCCTCAGTCTCGGATCACTGTGGAGGGACCAGGAAGGTGGGCTTAGGGTGCCTGTGGAGGGAGACATGCCTGCTTCTCCTGGGGCTCGAGTCCCAGCTCTGACCTGAGCCAACCTGACAGCAGGCTGCGACCCGCCATTCTGGGCAGGCTGAACTCTGGCAGAGGCCACTCCTGGGTGGGCTACGAGTCCCAGGAGGGCAGCAGGTCTCTTGAAAGGGGTCTGGCCACGCAGGCCCTCCCAATGAAGGCAAGCCCAGTGCCCCTGTGTGGTGACAGGCTCCTGGGACCTGCACCCGACCCCACTCGCGACACTCAGAAGTCTTCCTGGGAGCTGAGCAACGGGCAGACAGGTCCGGAGGGCCCCTCTGGGTATAAGGAAGCACCGGGTCGGGGCTCCCTCTGCGCGGTTGTCACTTGCTGTCCCTTCCTCAGGAGCCACACGAGCTATAGGCCCACCCTCCCGCAGAGCTCACAGCCAGGCCTGGGCACACCCTGCAGACCTGCAGCGGGGCTGGCACCTTCCAGGAGACCAGCTCGAGGCCCGTTCATGGAAACAATGAGGACAGCTGTTGTGGGGACCCCGGTTCTGTGACACTGAGCGGTTCTGTGCAGCCGCTGGTGGCCACGTGCTGTGTGCAGGCCCCACCGTCGTGGGACACCTTTCCCATCACACACGTGCCCCCCGGGGGCAAAGGAGACCTCCCACTCCAGACCTCGCTAAAAGCAGATCCAGCTGGAGCTCAGGCCCCACGCTCCGTTCCCGCCCCCGACGCCGGGCGTTTGGCTGTGGAAAGTGGGCGGCACCAGAGCCTCGTGGCCAGCATGACCAAGGCAGAGCTGAGACGTGAGGGCTGATGCCCACGGGCACCCCCATGCTCGCACCTCCCCAGAGCCCTTCCCTGGGTGCCTGAGGTGGAGGTATCAGGGATGGTGAGGAGAAGGACGTCCACTCAACAATTTCTAAGGAGAACCTGAAGTGAGACCCGATCTCCTGTAATCGTACGAGACGAACGTCACAGGTATGTTAAATGTTTATTTCTGCTCCTGTACACTCGGCCGCAGTTCTGACCCTGGGGGAGTCTGCCCACCCAGAGGGGACTCCCAGGGCAGTCAGCCCACCCAGCGGGCAGCAGAGGCTAGCGGAGACCGTCAGCCCCATGACGAAGGCGGAGATGGGAAGAGGAGCCCAAGATGGCATGAAGCCTGCTGATGCCCCCGATGGCGGGGCCTCCTCCCACCCATAGCACGAGTCTCAGAGCTGAGGACACACCCTTGCTCTCAGCCCAGTGACCGCAGGACAGACCCAGGTGGGACCCCAGAGCCCCAGCCACAGGGCCGAGGTGGCAGCATGGTCCCAGACGGGATATCGCTCTGTGTGGTCTCCGTGGTTTGTTGGGAGCCACTTCGACGGCTGCCAGGCGTCAGCGCTGAGTCCAAGGCTGAAGGCTCACGGCCTGGTGGTGCAGGAAGGCGGAGGCGGCTGGCAGGCATGGTGGCCTGCAGCTCGGGTCAGACATCCAGGGCTGCCACAGGTGGCCTTGACGTCCAGAGTGGCTAAGACGCCTCGCACTGCCGGGGGGGGGGGGGGGGG